GAGAAGAAAAAGTGCTGAGACACTTTAAAAGCACCTGTGCATTAAGACTAGGACACGCAGCTTTGCATTCCTGGTCTGGGTCACCATCTTACCGTGCTTCATGCTCCCTGTGCTTCCCAGAATGTCTTCCTTCTTCTCTCCCACCTATCTGATCTCTTTCAACCTGGGGATATTATGGACATTCTTCTAGATAAAAAAAAAAATCTATTTGATGTTTTTCTACTATGGTATTTCCAGTAATGAACCCCACACATGCTGCCAGCCAGTCTGGCCACTTCCCAGATGCCTTCCCTGTGACCTTGGACTACCCCACCCTCCTTACCTGGAAACCTACTGCAGTATCCATTCACCACACCCTCTTTGTACTTGCGGCTTAGTGTAAGTCTAATGCCCTCAACTCACTAGATAATTCATTGAGGCAAGAGCCATGTCCCTCCTAAAGCCTCCCTCTCAGAAAATACTTGTATTCATGTATTCTCTGAACACCAAAGATGCCTTATTATGGGAGGGGAGTTTCCAAATCTCTGTATGATCATCCCCAAGACATACAGGGTTTCTCACGAAGAGACACTGAGGTCTCAAGGCATTCAGCAGAGCTCTCCCATGTCTACACTGTCCCCTCCAAGGATCTGGGCAGATGGGACATTCCACCATGTCCCCACACTCCTGTACCTCAGCTCCGGAGATCTAAGCCAGTCTTAGGGAAAATCTCAGCTTAGGGCACTAAAAAGCAGCCTTTGAGGGTATTGGAGGCCAGTCCCCAATCACTAAGTACCTTCAGGAGAGATTGTTTCTGCCTGGGGAAAGAGCTGTCTACAGAGCATTACTGGGCTCAAGGGCAGGGGAGGGTGGTGTCTAGACATTCTTAACAACCCAAGAGGTTTAGTCCCAGCATCTGTTCCTCATCCATATCCAATAGGGAAGCCTCACTTAAAGTACCAGAGATGTGTCTTATTTCCAGGAAGGGAAATCAAGACAAAGAAGGAGACCAGGGGCATCACAGCCCAGAGTCAAGATCCTTCAAGTACTGACCCTGACAAGAGACACGCTGAGCCCATAGGAAGGACAGCATCACAACTTAAAAAGAGGTGTGAAAGAAGGCTTGAATAATGGAAATGAATGCCACACTGTCAGATGAGAAAGCTAAATATTAAGATATGGATTTTTCCAGATTAATTCTTATACTGACAATTATCCCAATGAGAATACCAATGATACAGAGACAGAAAGAATGTTAGTGTTTGACTGAGTCTGGGGCTAGGAACACAGATAAGCTGCAAAAAGGAACAGGGATCTTTTTAGGGTGATGGAAATGTTCGAAAATGGGATTGTGGTAATGCTTGCATAAGTCTAAATTGTGTATATTAAATTGTACATTTGGAATAGGTGCATATTATAGTGTATATATATACTATGTATGTATACAAATACTATATATATATATACTACATATGGTATATATATATATATATCTCAATAATGCTGATTAAAATATATACCTAGCAAGTTTTACTTAAAGATCATTCCAAATGCAAATTGAACTTCAGTTTTCCATGAAAAGATTTAATAGGCTTCTGATCTTGTTAAAAACAGCTTACTGCTTTTTTAAAATGTGATTTTTTTTTAAATGGTAAATATAGAGGTACAAGGTTAAAAAACTGGTATGTGGGAATTTAAAGAATTTCAAACAATGATTCTATAGTTTTCCTAGAGGAATAAACAAGAGAGAACAGCTAAGAAAATTTTTAAAAGAAGTCTATGAGGATTGCTTTGCCAGAAATTAAAGTTACAATCATTCAAACAAGGTCATTCTGCTGTAGGAATCAACAAACAGATTAACGGATTAGGATAAGTATATATACAGGAACTAAAATAGGCTTTAATGTGTATAAAAATTAGTACATAAAGAAAGAAAGGATCATAAACTAATAGCTAAGAATTAAATATTCCATAAATGATACGGGGGGAAATTACCCTACTTGCTAACCAAAAATTGAGCTGGAAACTGATGCTATATTATATACTCCAATCAATTCCAGATTAATTTAAAAGTCAAATGAAGACACTCAAAAAACAAAAAAAAAATATTTAAAATGTAGACGAACATTTAACAAACTTTAGAATAGGCAAGGAATCCATACCCCATGAAAGAAATGGTTAAAATATGCATACTGTGGCACTTTATGCAACCATTAAAGTCTTCCAGATAGTTTTTAGAAACCATGAGAAGATGCTCATGAAATATGGAGAAGTGAAGAAAACATGATACAAAACTGAATCAGAGAAACAGCAAGATGCTTCTGGGTGGTAGAATTCTAGGTGAATTGTTCCTTTCTCCATGGCACTTATAGGGTTTCCTTCCCCCCATATTTTTCACCATGATCGTGGAGTTCTTTCATAATCAGAAAAATAAGATTTTTTTTAAGACTTAGTAGAATAAGAATATGAAAAAACACGGGGTGCCTGGGTGTCTCAGTGGGTTAAGCGTCCGACTTCAGCTTAGGTCATGATCTCACGGTTGGTGGGTTTGAGCCCCGCGTCGGGCTCTGTGCTGACAGCTCAGAGCCTGGAGCCTGCTTCGGATTCTGTGTCTCCCTCTCCTGCTCTCCCTCCCCTACTCATGCTCTGTGCCCTCTCTCTCTCTCAAAAATAAATAAACATTAAAAAAAAGAATATGAAAAAGCAATCAAATCCAGCCACTAAAAAGCAGCAGCTGCAGCAAAGACATTAAATGTGTTTCTCACATGTGTGATCTATTTCACAATTTTTTAAAGCCTAGAAGGATGAAAGCCACACAAGCGTTTGGAGGAACAGCGGGACCGGTGTGCCTGTCCCTCCTGAGAGGCCAGGAGGCCCTGCCAGGAGGTGCAGCTGGCCTGGCTGTGGCGGCCCCACCACTGTGGGCGGGGAGGCCGCCTTCACTCAGACTTGGCTGTGGGCCTGGTCACTTCCCGAATGAGCTCCCTAGGGGCCCATGAGGGCCATCCCTGCAGCAAGTCTCTGCTGTCCAGCCTGTGGGCCGTCAGGCACACAGAGTGGCCCCGTCGGGGCCACTAGGAACTCACCACACCAGCTGCCAATATCTCCAGAGACCAAGCGGGAGGGGTGAGTCATGAACAGACTCGAGAGTCTGGTTTGAGGTTCGCCCCACTCCCAAGCCCTCTGAACTACTGTCCCCACAGGCTGACTCAGCACCACTGCAGGAAAACCCGTTCCCCAATCGCCCTTAAAACTGATCTCTCCCTGGGGCGCCCGCGTGGCTCAGTCGGCTGGGCATCTGACTCTCGATTTCAGCTCAGGTCATGATCTCACACTTCGTGGGGTCGAGCCTGCGTCAGGCTGTGTGCTGACAGCGCGGAGCCTGCTTGAGCTTCTCTCTCTCCCTCTCTCTCTCTGCCCCTTCTGTGCATTCTCTCTCTCTCAAAATAAATAAATAGCTAAAAAGCAAAACCAAAACACTGGTCTCTCCCTCCTTCCCCGATGGAAGTTCCCTCCATGGGAGAGGCAGCCCCCCGCCCTGTTGTCCGTGAAGCACCCCATCCCTGTGCCCTCCATGAGGTCTGGGGGCAGGTGGCTTGTCCCTTCCGCCATCTGCCCTGACTTTTGAAACGCTCTTCCTTTCTGCCACTCATAAGGAACACCGTCCACCATAAAACCGCCTGCCGAAACTCCTGTGAAATACCGCCTTCCCTCTGCCCCCCCAAATGGCACTGACCAAATGGGACAGTCTCCTCTGTCGTGCCTCTCAATCCTGTCCCTCCCCTGTCCCCAAACCCCTTAATGCTGTCGCCCACCTGCCTCTCTCTTTAAAGAGTGGATACCCTATCCCTACCTCCACACAAAACATCACCTTCTCTCTGTTGGCTCCTGACCCCCAAAAATGATGGCACCCCTGTTCCCACATAACAGAGTCAGCGCCTACATCCCCTGTAGTAACTAGCTTCTCTCTCCTGCCATTTATTTAGTTCTTAATACGCACCCGGCCCTGTGCTGAGAGGTCCTCAGGAGCCTGGCGAAGCAGGTATTTTTATTCTGATTTTACCACGCACCCAAATCATACCTGGCGAAGCAGGTATTTTTATTCTGATTTTACCACGTACCCAAATCACAAAAATGTTAAGCACAGTTAGCTTTACACATAGGTAGACCTGACTCCAAACTCTTAGATAAAAATCCAGATTAAACCAGAATTTCCTAGACAGTTGATATATATACATATACATATAAAGGTTATTCACTTATTTTGAGAGAGAGCAAGCAGGAGAGGGGCAGAGAGAGGGAGAGACTCCCAAGCAGGCTCTGCACTGTCAGCACAGAGCTCAACGCGGGACTCGAACTCACATGAGATCATGACCTGAGCTGAAATCAGACGCTTAACCGACTGTTCCACCCAGGTGCCCCGATATGTATACTTTTTAACGTTTTTTTTTAAAGTTTATTTATTTATTTTTGAGAGAGACAGAGGCAGCACAAGTAGAGAAGGAGCAGAGAGAGAGAGAGAGAGAGAGAGAGAGAGAATCCCAAGCAGGCTCTGAGCTGCCAGCACAAAGCCCTTTGCAGGGCTCGAACCCGCTAATCGTGGATACTTTTTAAAAATGTTCTGATAGGCGTCCAGGCAGAGACCCACCGCACACTCCAGCACCCCCTATTCCTCAGTCTCCCCACAAAACACTGCTGCCTCAGTAGAGCCCACAGAAAACTCTGCACAGGCTCTTTCCTCCCCCAGAGAACATCATTCTCTACCTCCCTCTGGGGCACGGGTCCCCATGCTGTCCCAGGAGAGGGTCACAGTCGGGCTGTGTCGCCCCGAGGCCTGGCATCTGGAGGTTGGCAGGGGCGAGGGCCAGGCCTGTGGCCTCTGCTCCTGGCTGGCACTCCCTCACCACCTCACCCCTTCTATAAATAGCCCACTGCTCACTGGCTGCCGAGCTGCTGCAGCAAGAGTTTCCATGAGGTCAGCTTCCCAGAGCAGCCTCTGGGCACCCAGCACCCACACCTACCTCTCCTGGAGTCCTGTGGCCTCCTCGCCCCTGCAGGGGGCCGTCGCGGGGGCCGTGTCTCCGCCGGGCCGGGGGCGTGGGCACTTGGGCAGAGGCCTGAGCCGATGGCTTGCCTGAGGGTTCTGGAGCCTGGCCCGGGGAGGGCTCCGGCCCGCCGCCGGCCGCAGGCTCCCCTCGGGGCTTCGCGGGGGCAAACCGCCTCCTGTAGAGAGGCCTGTTTGGCTGCGGGGCTGAGGTCGCGGGCTGGCCAGGGGCGGCGGGCCCCCCCTCACCCCCAGCGTCGCCGGGCGCCTTCTCCGAGGACAGCTGTCCGGGTGCCCCGCCACCTGAGGTCTGGGGCCCGTCGTCCCCCGGAGGCCTCCCCGCCCGGGTGCTCTCCAGATACACGTCCTTCAGGGAGAAATACCCTTCCCGGGCCGCGCCCACGGGCGCCGTCGGGGCCTGGCCCGGAGCGCCCACCTCGGCCGCCGGCTTCCTGGCGCCAGCCGCTCCCGAGGACCCGGGCCCCCGGGCCGCGCGGCCTCCGGGCCGGGCCTGAACCGGCCCCACGTCCGCGGGCCCCGGTGTCCCCGAGGGGTCAGGCTTGCCCGACCTCGGGGCCCGCGCGTCAGGAGAACGGTGGCTTCCGGCCGCCTTCTCGAACTCTGGCTGCCGCGGACCTTGCTTAGGTTCCTCGTCTTTCTTCTTCTTCTTGGCCGCAGACTCCTTTTGGGGGGCTCTCTGGGGCGCCAGCTCCATGGCCTCACAGAGGTAGGTCAAGAGGCCGTGCCCCCCATCCTCCCCGTTCTCGGGGGTGGCCTCGCCGTTGGTGGTCCCCTCCCCGGGGGCAAAGCTGTTGATCAGGCCCAGAGCCGGGTGCCCAGGGGGCTCGGGGTCCTCCGCCTGCCACGCCACGGGGGTGGCGTCCTCGGCCGCCCCGGGGGGCCCGGGAGGGGCGGGCGGCTCGGCCCCGCTCAGCCGCCGCTTCCGCTGGAAGCGGTCGGGGCTGAGCTTCCGCAGCGCATCGGGTTCGGCGGCCGCGTCCTTGCGGGGCTTCCAGCTCTGCTCGATCTCGCGCATCTTGGCCGCCGCCTTGCGCTTCAGCTTGGCGAACCAGCGCTGGTGTATCTTGTACTCGGTCATGGTGCCGACCTCCAGGACCCCCGAGCAGGACACGATGCCCTTGGTGTTCCGGGCGGACGCCTGGTAGATGGCCGCATCCTCCTCCTGGCACCTGAACGTAGGAGCGGGAGATGCCAACCCCGCGGCCCCCCGCCCCCAGCCAGCCCTGCCCGCTACGGGTCCTGCCCCGGGTGCCACACACCGCCGCAGTCATCCAATACCCCGCAGTACAGATGGGGAAACTGAGGCTGGCGACAGGGAGGGGGCGGGTCCGGGTCATGCTGTTCTGGGCGGGGATTGGCCTTGCGGCCCAGGAGAGCTCCCTTCAGGAGCAGGTGACCCACACGGCCCCCTTGTGAAGGAGGGATGACACGGGAGCTATTTTTGGCAGCTGACCTCATGGAAAATGTTTCCACGGGTCAGGACCTCCTCTGGGTGTGCTCCACTCTCAGGCTGTCGGAAACGCTCCCCGCGCAGCCGGAGGAGATCCCAGGCGCCGGCTGCCAGACACGGTTCCCCCGCAGCAGGTTCAACTCGGCAACAGAACCCCACCCCCCACCCCACCCCCACCCCCACCCCCACCCCCAGATCCCGCCTGCGCATGTGCGGCCAGGCGAGCCCACTTCCGACGGGGCCGCAGGACCCTCGGGCGGCCGGCGAGGCCGCTTTCCCTCACCTGTAGAGCTGCAGCGTGTGGCGGTTGCCCTGATGCATGATCTCATATTTCGGCAAGCCACAGTAGCGGTCCAGCTGCACGTCATCCTTGTACCAGGTCACCTCTGGCTCTGGGTACCCTACGAAGGAAGCAGGAGACTGGGCTGCAGGGAGGAGACCAGTTCCGAAGCCGCAGGAGGAGAGAGAACGGGATGACACGCCTTCCCCAGGCCACCCGAAGCACCCGGGCGGCCCCCTGCCAGGCCCCACCGGCCGGCAGAGAAGGGCTATCATGTGGCTCAACTCATTTGTAGAACCCAGGCCATGTCCAGGCTGAAAACTGTGCCCCCTTGGGCAGCCGGAGGCAAATACGGAGGAGAAGCATCCTGGCTTCTTGGTAAGAAGGGAAGCAAGAAGTTTCCAGAAAGCCTTGACTGATAGTAATAAGCCTCCTTCCTTCAGTGTCCTGTTCTACATCCTCAGCCGTGGTCACAGCTCTGTCCTCAGAGATGCCCCCTCCAGGACCCCAACACCAAGAGCCCTCCTACTTCCTGCCCAGATTGCTGAGCTGCTGGTATTATTTAAGGACACGCCATCCATCCCCATCCATCCATCCCCAGCTCCCCACCCACTCCCACTGCCGTGAGGCTGACTGAGGTGTCTTCCCAGCCCTTGTCTCAGGGAGACTTCCAGGCCTACCCACAAGGAGAGCTTCCAACTGTCAGAGTCACACGTCCCTGCCTCTGTCCCCACATGGCGGATGGGTCCAGTGGTGGACACCAATCAGTTAATCCACTCCAGTTATTTGACCTAGGTTTTAGGGATCAGGACCTAGAGACAATCTACCCTTGGGTCTGGAACTATAACTTCAAAGGAGAGGGCAGCCCTGTTCTCCACATAGACTCGCCTAGAGCAAGATGGAGATATGAAGGTGGTATTCAGGACAGAATAAGAGATCGGAGAAAGACAAGAGTTTCATCATGCTTCCAAATACGGAGTCCATTCCTTGCCTGGACACAGCTGCACTCCTTGTTAGTCCCACAAGAAGCCCGTCTGGCCTTCCCATGAACTCTGCTTCATTTCTTTTTTCTTTTAATGTTTTGTTTTGAGAGACAGAGCACGTGTGGGGGAGGGGCAGAGAGAGAGAGAGGGAGACACAGAATCTGAAACAAACTCCAGGCTCCAAGCTGTCGGCACAGAGCCCGACACGGGGCTTGAACCCACAAACCAACAGATCATGACCTGAGCTGAAGTCAGACGCTTAACCAACAGAGCCACCCAGGCACCCCACCTGCTTCATTTCTTAAGCCTGAATCATTTCTTAAATGATTTGCACTATTTATTAGAATTCAAAGAGCCCTAGCACAGATGCCCTCCAATGTATATATATTAGGTGCATGCTGATTGCCGAGAGAGGAGTATAAAAATATAGAACTTGACCACCAAGGTCTCTGCTCTCAGGGAACCCACCGAACAGTAGAAAAGGTCGGCTGGGGACACCTACCCCGGCTCCCCTGCTGTCTCCGGATAAACGGCCCGCACGCCTCCCCGGAGCCGACCACACCAGATCCCATCTCCTCCTGCCTCAACAAGGACACCTCTCCAACAACGTTCTTGCTCCCCACGTGTCATCGAACCCGTTCCCCTCTATTTTTTTATTTTATTTTATTTATATTTATTTATTTATTTTTTTACAAATAGTTTATTGTCAAGTTGGTTTCCATATAACACCCAGTGCTCATCCCCACAAGTACCCTCCTCCATGCCCGTCACCCCCCCCCCCAACTCCCATCAGCCCTCAGTTTGTTCTCGGCATTCAAGAGTCTCTCATGGTTCTGTGACTCCCGGCAGTGAATATATTGTAGGAGTGTCCCAACAAAGTGCTTCGGAAGTGCTGTCTGTACTCTCTCCACTCCCTCCCCATCCAGTCGGGCTTCTGTGCTCTCCGCAGCAGCAGAGTTGTTCTTGTCCAGGTGGCTCACGACTCACATTGGCCAAATCTATTGGCAATTCTTTTTTTTTTTTAATGTTTATTTATTTTTGAGAGACAGTGCGAGTGGGGGAGGGACAAAGAGAGAGAGACACAGAATCCGAAGCAGCTCCAGGCTCTGAGCTGTCAACACAGAGCCCAACACGGGGCTCAAACCCATGACCCGTGAGATCGCGACCTGAGCCTAAGTCCTACGCTGAACCGACTGAGCCCCCCAGACGCCCCCAACTCACAATCCTTGAGCCTCGTCTACTCAACCTGCCAACATCGACCCCACTTCCTGAAACCTTTTCCTCACTCTCACAGAGTGCTCCTTCTCTTTCCGTGCCTGTCCCTTCTCCTAGGGACATGTCCCATGAGGGCAGAAATCCTATCTTTACTGCTATATCACCACCACCTAAGATCGTGCCTGGCACATAGTAGTTACTTAATAAAACCCTGTTGGATGAGTGAGTAAAGGAGTGAGTGAGGACACGAGCAAGCAAACAAGCAAGGGACAGATGGGGAGGGATGCCTGACGTAGGAACCGTACAGTGTGGGGGTGGAGGGCAGAGGGCATGCTGGGGAATGTACAGGAACAGGGAGCAAGGGAGGCGAGGCAGCAGCGGGGTCGGCCAGGAACAAACTCCGGGCAGCCCTGACTGTAAAGCGAGCCCCATGTTTCCACTGTGAGCTAAAGCCCTGGTTACATCACCGCGTGGGGCCGGGGCCAGCACAGGTGTCCTCACCATCCTGTGCGATGATCTCATCCCGACAAGGGCCCAGCTCAGAGCCTCCCTGTCCTATGATCTGCCCAGTAGGGCCTCAGTCTCCAGGGCATCTGAGTCCAGTCAAGCTGGGGCAAGGAAGGAGATATTGAATGGGCGTCCCAGCCCGAAGGCGGGGACCTCAGCCCCCATGCCATCCCCGGGTGCCTCTTCACAACACGGCGGCCAACCCGACAGCTTAGGGCTCCGTGGCAACGATGGGTTTGGACGGAAAACCTCTCCTTGTCGCCCGGACAATACGAACTGTGTTCTGAAACACACAAAAGCAGGAAAGGTCCTTCCCTCCGAGCGGCACACGCATGCACGCCCGTGTGCGTGTGCCCACGGGCAGGCATGCATGCGCGTGCAGCTTTGGCCAGGGAAGCCCCTGAGACCTCTGCCGGCGGATCTGAGTCTGGGACACCAGCCCAGAGAATTGCAACCTCTTCCCAACCATCCCCGGTTTGAGAAGCTCCAACTGAAGAGACAAATCATGACGAATGTCAATGTGGAGTTTCCAAAGAGCTTTCAAACGTAGTTTCGTCTGGCCCTCCTAACGGTCCCGTGCAAACAACCGCCAAACATTTACTGAGGATTTGCTCTGTGCCAGATTCTGAGCTGAACATTTTTCAGGCATCATCTCATCGAATCCTCACACGGATCCCACAAGGAATGGACTGCTCTTAATCCCAGGTATAAAAGAGGAGGAAATCAAGGTCCGTGAAATTAAGACTTCTGCCCCAAACCATCCAGCCTGATATGCAGAAGAACCAAATTCAAACCCCTATTTTCTGTAAAACAGGCAGGTCAGGGGTTTCAGTCCCTGTTTCCCACAAAAGGAAGATGAGGCTCTGGGAAGCAAAGGGACTTAGCCAGGGTCATGAAGCTGGCATATGACAAGGCACCTGGCTTTTCTGTTTCCTTCTACCAGTGCCCTTTCCAGTGAGGATTCCGGGACCAACATGTAAGTGTTTATCCCCAGTAGTTGTTACATTGGACTCATTTCTCTAAGAAAAGGTGATTTTCAGGAACCTGGTTCTGTCTAAGGCTCAGTCCCTCTGTCCAGTGGCCACTGCTGCTTCCTCTTCCTGCCCCAATGTATATCCGTGTGCGCGCGCACACACACACACACACACACACACATACATACACACACCAGCACAAAATCCACAAAGAGTTGGGTGCCTGGGTGGCTCAGTTGGTTAAGCATCCGACTTTGACTCGGGTCATGATCTTACAGTTCTTGAGTTTGAGCCCCATGTCGGGTTCTGTGCTGACAGCTCGGGCAAAGATGGGCAACTTCAGGTACAGCAGCATTCTGGCCAGAGGGGCCCTGGGGGGTCAGCAGCCAGAAGGCCTAGTCAAGGTGTGTGATCCCCCCATACGCCCACTCTGAGGGGGAAGAGCCTCAGGGCTGTCCGTTCCTCTTCCAGGACCCCGAGGGCTTCCCTCAGAGCTTGGTGAGCAGGACAACCGGCATGGACCCCTCTCCCTCACCTCTTATAGGTTCTGAGCGACCTGAAGCATCCCCTGCCCCTGGCAGGGCCCTGGTGGGGCTGACTCATCGCCACCTGGTTCACGGGATGCTACCAGCAGGGCACGTGTGGTCACTCCTCCACATACACAAGCGGGGATCACCACGCAACTCCCACGGGGAGGCCAGTCTCAGCCATTGATCTACCCACCATCTACCTTTTCAGGTTGGGAGACTGGGCTAACTGTTCCCTTTGTTCTCTGATTTTTTCACCCTTTCCCCTCCCCCTTTCTTCCCCATACAGGCTACATTTTCCCCTTGCTCACTGGAAATGGCTTATTTACTATGGCGATCACAGCAACCTCTTCCCTAATCTGCTACATAAAACTCGGGTGACCTGAGATTCTTTTGGGGGGGAGGGGCAAGCCGCGGGGAGGAGGAAGTTAGTTACCTTAGGGGACTAAGTTTTGGATGTGAGAGATAGCTAGAGGCCTGGAAATCCACAGCCTCAAGTGGGGGTGCTGTAGACCCCAGCACAACAGGTGCACCCAGGCAGAAAGAGGACCATGGCCCTGACTGGTCATCATGAGACATGGATGTTGTCTCAACTAAGGGGATAAAAGTTTGTTACTTTGGGTTGGGCTTTAAACAGGGCAAAGCTTTGTGATGACATTGGAGGTATTTAATAAAATGCCCCATGATTCTGTAAGTCAGATTCCTGTCTGGCTTCTCCACTTTGCTCTCAGAGTCCATGGCTACGAAGGGCAGAATGGAAGAGGGACAGTAGGGAGAGCCGTCCCTGACGCCTCGCCCTCCCTGGTGGCCCAAGGCCTCCGCAGCAGCTGCGGCTCAAAGGAATAGGCACCCGGCCTTGCTCCAGAGAGACCCGTTTGCTAGCTTTGTGCTCTAGTCTCTCAGGTCTCATGGTCT